AGAATATTTTTTTAACGACCATATAAGGCGTGGATTTTTTAAAGAATATTTTTTTAACGACCATATAAGACGTGGATTTTTTAAAGAATATTTTTTTAACGACCATATAAGGCGTGGATTTTTAAAGAATATTTTTTTAACGACCATATAAGGCGTGGATTTTTAAAGAATATTTTTTTAACGACCATATAAGGCGTGGATTTTTAAAGAATATTTTTTTAACGACCATATAAGGCGTGGATTTTTAAAGAATATTTTTTTAACGACCATATAAGGCGTGGATTTTTAAAGAATATTTTTTTAACGACCATATAAGGCGTGGATTTTTAAAGAATATTTTTTTAACGACCATATAAGGCGTGGATTTTTAAAGAATATTTTTTTAACGACCATATAAGGCGTGGATTTTTAAAGAATATTTTTTTAACGCTTTGGATTTTTTAAGAATTTTTTTTAAAGAATATTTTTTTCAACACTTTTGGATTTTTAAAGAATATTTTTTCAACGATCATAAGGGGCGTTGATTTTGTAAAGAATATTTTTTCAACAACATAATAGGCGTGGATTTTTTAAACAATATTTTTTCTACGGTCATATATATTTTGTGGTATATGTTCAATATACTTATTTAATAACCCTATACCTTATCTTTTATATCTTGATTATTGTTTGGATATAAAAATCCAATGACTAAATTTCCAAAAAAAAAAAAACTATAAAATATTATCAAGCAGTGATATTAAATTTTTATTAATCATATATTAGAGGCACTATTTCGTGTTCCGAAAAAAACATAAACACACAAATTCAAACGATTTGTCGCGATGTGTCTAAATTCGACTATTAAACCATAAACATTGTCTACAAATCTATTTGCCGAACTATAGAATTAGTTGTCTCACAACAAAGTTAATATTTGGATGGGCTAAGCTAAAATAATTTAAATCTTTTTGAATAAATCGGATGAAAAAGCTTCGTTTCGATTTTTGTTACTGCTTTTCAGCGATTTTAGTTTTCTATCAAAGTTTTATTTATTCGAATATTTAAATTCAAAATGATGATGGTGATGATATTTTGATGTTGTGGTTATTTGCTGAAATACTATCCGAACGATAACGATATGGCATATTCTTACGATACGATACACAAACTCCCCCACTTAATTAATTGAATTTACATAAATAGGGGTTTTTTGCGAACTTTGTTTACCATAATCTCTTGTTGTTGGTTTGTAATCCCCAAAACAGGCATTTACATATGTTGCTATTTGAAATTCAAGTTCAATGTTAAACTAATTTGTATTTTTTGGATTATTTGCGATATTTTAATGATTATTATGTCTAATACGGTAATAATCCATAAACATTAATTGGACAATAAAAAAAATAATCATCAAGTTATGACGATTGACGCATGTTTTGTCATTGAATTAAAGTTATGTTTTTAAAACCTCTCGAAAAAAGAGGGAAAATCCACGCCAAACGCCTTTAAAAAATTCTGAAAATAATCCACGGTAAGATCTAAGAAAATATCTTAAAAAATCAAAGCCTTGAGGTCTTGGAAAAAAATGTTAAAATACTCTAAGCCATAGGCTTCTAAAAATGTTCTTAAAAATGCCCATTTGAAAAAATCTTATTAAAACGTATTAAAAAATCTAAGCCTAAGGCATCTAAAAGATTTTTAAAGAAATCTGAGCCTAAGGACCAATAGTTGTGTTGAAAAAAATATTTAAAAAAAAATCCAGTGTTTAGGAGAAAGAATTCTCCGAAAGATCTATGGGCCGATCTGTGTTGACAGTGAATATGGCTGTGGAATGAACCATGAGTTGTACCAGCTATTCTCGGACATCGACATTGTTTGACGTATTGAGGTGCAGCGACTACGTTGGCTAGGTTATGTTGTGAGAATGGATGAAGATGCCCCAGATGCCCAGAAGGCATATAAAATCGAACCAGCTGATGGTTCACGCAGAAAGGGAAGGCCACGAATACGATGGAAAGGTCAAGTGGAAGATAACATTGCAAAAATATGGTCTTTAAAATTGGATAAACTGCGCAAAAGACCGACGCGCCTGCAAATCATTTTTAAGCTCGGCTTAGGGAACGAAAGTTCTGTCACAAGCCAACTAAGTATGTAAGTAAATCCACGCCTATGGTTGTGTTGAAAAAATATTTTTTAAAAAGTCTACGCCTATGTTTGTGTGTAAAAATATAAAAAATCCACGCCTATATAAAATCCACGCTTATATTTGTGTGTAAAAATATAAAAAAATCCACGCCTATATAAAATCCACGCTTATATTTGTGTGTAAAAATATAAAAAAATCCACGCCTATATAAAATCCACGCTTATATTTGTGTGTAAAAATATAAAAAATCCACGCCTATATAAAATCCACGCTTATATTTGTGTGTAAACATATAAAAAATCCCCACCTATATAAAATCCACGCTTATATTTGTGTGTAAAAATATAAAAAATCCACGCTTATATAAAATCCACGCTTATATTTGTGTGTAAAAATATAAAAAATCCACGCTTATATAAAATCCACGCTTATATTTGTGTGTAAAAATATAAAAAATCCACGCCTATATAAAATCCACGCTTATATTTGTGTGTAAACATATAAAAAATCCCCACCTATATAAAATCCACGCTTATATTTGTGTGTAAAAATATAAAAAATCCACGCTTATATAAAATCCACGCTTATATTTGTGTGTAAAAATATAAAAAATCCACGCTTATATAAAATCCACGCTTATATTTGTGTGTAAAAATATAAAAAATCCACGCCTATATAAAATACACGCTTATATTTGTGTGTAAAAATATAAAAAAAATCCACGCTTATATTTGTGTGTAAAAAATCCACGCCTATATAGAATCCAAACCTGTGGCTACTTGAAAAAATATATTTTATAAAAAATCCACGCCTATTGCTACATGAAAAAATATTCTTTAAGGGGACCCCCCATTCTCGGGGTCAAAAATTTTGTTGATATAATTCAAATCTACACTAATTAATAAAAGCTCCTACAAAATTTCAAGTGAAAATTTCAAGAACTCTTGAAGATATAGCCGATTTATTGTGTCAGCATCAGGTGACGGCTGAAGGGCTTCTCCAACTTGAAACGAGTTTTTCTCTAAACATTTTTTTGTGAATGGCGGGCACGATAACTCAAAAACTATTAACCCAATCGATTTCAAATTTTTACACGTTTCTCTGTGAGTGTATAGCTATCGTATGAACTAGGATAAAGCCAACCGGTGAAGATCTTCCTTATTTTTTAACTTGGTTTTTTGCTAAAAATCGGCGATTTTCCAAAAATATTTTTTCAAAGGACCACCATTTTGTTAATTTTAGAGCGAAGACAATAATCCTAGTTCATACGAGAGCCAGACATGTACTCTTTCTAACACCGTTGGAATTTTCGGATTCCGATGTTCCAGTGAGGAGTTATCATGCCCGCCATCAAAAATAAGGACTTTTCTTTAATCACAAAAAACAACAACAAGACAACAACAACAAATTTTTGTAAATTATTTTTCTTATTTTTTTAATCTTCAAATATATATGTGCGAAGTTACAAACCTTAACAAGCATTGGTATTCATTTACCAGCCCATTTAAAATCTTAAAAATAAAAAATCCACACCTGGGGGGGGGGGGGGGGGGGGGGACACACCAATGTTTATTTTTGCAAATGGCAAGTGCTCTATCTTTTACTCTCTGGTCTCTCACGAGTTCGTAAGAGACTTAAGATTTCATCTTCGTATAGCATTCAACGTTTGTTTCTTAAGTCTTTTGATTTGGCATGTAGAACAATTGCCGTTAGTTGAAAAAATACTCTCTCCCTCTTTATTCTCACATGTATTTCCCATAACGTCAATTGTTCTACATGCCAAATCAAAAGACTTAAGAAACAAACGTTGAATGTTATACGAAGATGAAATCGTAAGTCTCTCACAAACTCATGAGAGACCAGAGAGTAAAAGATGGAGCACTTGCCATTTGCAAAAATAAACATTGGTGTGTCTGGGTGTGTGCATATGAAAAGACTTAAACCTCATACATTGTATAAACAACACAAAACAAAAGACTTAAGAAGCAAACCTTAAATGTTCTCAAATGTTCACAACACAAGTGATAATTTTATTATTTTATATTTTTCATTATTATATATGACAACGTAAAAGAACTAATTTTAGAAACTGAAACTGAATCACTTTCAGTTTCCAATAATAACAACAAAAAATGAAATATAGCCTATTCTTAAAATAGACTAAAAATAATCATTGGCAAATTAAAAAAACTCGAAGAAGGCAACAACTTGTGTGGTATTTGCGGTCTGTTTTATTTTATTTAATTTTTGTCTTTTTTTATTGTATTTTTTGTTATCATCTAAACCTTAAATTGAAATTTAAAAAAATTTACATAAATTATGGGTCAACTTAATCAAATGGCAAAAATTCCAAATACAACTATCAAAACTAGCTGACTGCTGCATGGACAACCACAACTCAAAATTGAAATACGAAAAAAAACTCGGAATCAATTCAAAAATCTGTAACAACAATAACAATATGCTGAAGATATTTGGTGACAATAACAAAAAAAAAACAGCACAGGCGTGTTATATTGTCTTAACAACAACAACAAAATCGAAATAGAAGAGTAGGCTTAAAATCCATTTACAAATAGTCACCCTTTTGTTATTCATGGGGACAATTTGCATATTTTTTTATTTTGCTTTTGTTGGACTGTTGTTTTTCAATTTGTGGACAAGTTTTAGAAGCAGCTACATTGTACCAAAATTGTTTTATGATATTTTTGTATAAAAGTTGTATGATCTGTGGGAATTAGTATGCAGTAAAGTGTAACAGTTCAAGAGATAAAGAAGTCTCAGGAATATAAAAAAAAAAAATACAAAAATTAAAAAAAAACTTAACGAACTTTTTAAAAGTGCAAAATCGAAAAAAATCCTGTGTAGAAAAATGCGTGCCTTTATTGCTTTGTCAGCTTTGTTAGCAGTTTGCTGTGCTGCTCCCCAGTATGGTTATGTACATCCCGAAACCAACATTGGATTACCTTTGGTCTCTGGCGGTCATCGTGGTGGTGATAAATATTTACCACCCGCAGTCAAACCTGTTGAACCAATTGTACGCAAGCAGTTCTATGTAATCTCAGCACCCGAGGATAACGACAACAAGGGCAGAACTAAACATTTGGTATTGGGACGCCCACAAACGAATTATCGTGTTGTATTCATTAAGGCTCCTAGCTCCGGTGCTGGTAATGTTAAGTACTCCGCCGAATTTGCACCACAACAAGAGAAGACTGTCATTTATGTGCTGAACAAGAAGGAGAATGAATTGGAGGCCGGTGATATTGCCACACCAGCACCCACCGCTCCCAGCAAACCTGAAGTCTTCTTTATCAAATACAAGAATGATGATGAGGCCAAGCAAGCCCAAAAGGAAATTCAAGGTAGGTTTATACAACAGTCAAAAGTCTTTGGATTGTTTTATTAATAGAAACAATTTTCTCCATTACAGAACAATACAACAAACTCGGTGGCACCAATGAAATTGCCGAAGAAACCACAGCCCCCATTACCTCGGTCATCGGTACTTTGGAAAGCCTTAACCCTGATGGCAGCTACAATTACCGCAAAACCAATGAAAATGTCGGCACCATTGAAACGCCAAATACCCAATATTTGCCTTCAGCATTGAAAGCATAATTTTTGTTATTGCTCTAGCGTTTGATGTGTAGTTTTTAGTTACTGTTTTCTAGTTTTAAGTAAACCAACATTTTTATAGAAATAAATAAAGAAAAAATACTTAAAAACTATTCTTGAAATAATATTTTTACAAAAAACCACCCCTCCCACCCACTAAATGCAGAGCCTTAAAAATATTTTTACAAAAATCCACGCCTTATACTTATTCAGCTGGCTTGTGACAGAACTTTCTTTCCATAAGCCAAGCTTAAAAAAGATTTCCAGGCGCGACGGTCTTTTGCGCGGTTTTTCCAATTTGAAAGACCATATTCGGCAATGTTATCTTCCATTTGATCTTTCCATCGTATTCGTGGCCTTCCCCTTCTGTCTAACAATGTCGATGTCCGAAAATAGCTGGTACAACTCATGGTTTATTCGACGGCGATATTCACCGTCGACACAGATCGGCCCATAGATTTTTAGGAGAATTTTTCTCTCAAACACTCCAAGAACTGCCTCATCTGCTTGCATAAGTACCCATGCTTCAGATCCATATAACAGCACGGGTAGTATCAGCGTCTTGTAGAGTGTAAGTTTGGTCTGGCGGGAGGTGGCCTTGCTTTTGAGTTGTTTGCTTAGACCATAGTAGCATCGGTTGGCCATAACTATCCTTCGAATTTCAAAACTGCTGTCATTAGTATTATTTATGGCGGTACCAAGGTATATAAAATCTTTGACTACCTCGAAGATGTAGTTCTCAAGTTTCACAGTTGGTCCGAGTCTACTGGACGTCTTACGCATTGATACCATCAGATTGATCTTCTTACCAATTACTGCCAGGCCCACTTTGGCAGACTCCTTCTCAATTTGTTCAAAAGGTGGCTGTTACCGCTCCCAAAGTTCGACCTATTATGTCGATGACATCGACGTTGGCGAGTAACATGTGTTGTAGGGTGTACAGAGTGACATTTCTGTTCACTTTTGCCTCTCGTATGACCTTTTCCAGCAGGATGTTAAAAATTTCACACAACAAACTATCACCTTGTCTGAATCCTCGTTCGGAATTAAAGGTCTCTGTGAGGCCCTTTCCAACTTTAACGGCTTATCTTATGCCTGTTAAAGTTATCCTGCATAACCGAAGTAATTTTGCAGGAATGCCAAACGCAGACATGGCTTTATACACCTCTCGGAACGGATAGGGCTGTCGAATGCGGTTTTATAGTCGACAAATAGGTGGAATGTGTCGATGTGTTTTTCGTGGGTCTTTTCCAGGATTTGGCGCAGAGTGAAAATCTGGTCAATGGCGAATTTGCCAGGTCTGAAGCCGCATTGGTATGGTACAATAATGTCATTGACCAATGGCTTCAGTCGTTCACACAGTACCCTGGATAGCACTTTATTCCTCTATAGTTGGCAAATATCGTCCTGTCTCCTTTTTTGTGCACGGGACACAGGATGCTGAGATTCCAATCATTGGACATGCATTCTTCTAGCCAAATTGTACTAATCAGCTGGTGCATGCTCTTGACCAGCATCTGACCACAAGTCTTGAATAGTTCGGCTTGTAACCCATTGGCACCTGCTTCTTTATTATTCTACAGCTGATTGATTGCTATTCTGACTTCATCTTGGCTAGGTGGTATACACTCTATACCGTCATTTATTATTGGTTCTGGGGTATTCTCTTCACCGCTAATATTTTACACCAGAAGTTTTTCAAAATGCTCCCTCCAGATCCTTAGCACGCTGTCTGTATCTGTCACCAGGTTTCCTTCTTCATCTCTCTACAGGAGATGTGCCTGCTCCAAAGCCTTCGGTTTGGTATTTTACCCGTTGGTAGAATTTTTGGACTGCTGTACATCTCGAATTTCTCACGCTCACGTTTTTCTTGTTCTGTCTTCTTTTTTCTGAAAATACGTTTCTCCTCTCTCCTTTTCTCCCGATAGTTCTCCATCGCATTACGTGTTGCTACTGTCCGCAGGGTTGCTCTATACGCTGCGTTTTTCATATCTGTAGCATTACGGCACTCCTGATCGTACCATGGATTTCTTGGTGGTGGTCTTTGGTACACAAGTGTTGATTTTGCTGCAGTTTGTAGGGAGTGGGCAATTCTCTGCCATTGTGCTTCTGTATTTTTATCGGGACAAGGGGTGCTTTCGGCAAGCAGTTGGGAAGTTGAGCGGAGTAGGCTTCTGCTATCTGTTGTGTTTGCAGCTTTTCGACGTTAAATTTCCGTGTTACATTAGTTCGCACCTTTGCTGCTACATTAAGACGGGTGCGTACATTGGCTGCCACAAGGTAATGGTCCGAATCAATATTCGCTCCCCGATCGATCGGACGTCTAAAATACTGGATGAATGCCTTCCGTCTATCACAACATGATCGATTTGATTTCTCGATGTTCGATCGGGAGAAATTGAAGTGGCCTTGTGTATTACGAGATGCTTGAATCTGGTGCTGATAACTACCATGTTTTTTGCTGCCGCGAAGTCAATCAACCTCATGCCGTTGTCTGATGTTTCTTCATGGAAGCTGAATTTTCCGACGGTGGGCCAAAGATATTTTCCCTTCCGATTTTTGCATTAAAATCTCCTAGCTGAATTTTAATGTCATGGCCAGGTCAACGATCATATGCTGTTTCTAGGTGCTCGTAAAATATGTCTTTGGTCTGTTCATCTTTATCTTCGGTCGAAGCATGGGCGCAAATGAGACTGATGTAGAAGAACTTCGCTTTTATACGGACTATAGCAATTCGCTCTTCTTCTGGAGTGAATCTGGAGACGAGGTCTTTTATTCCCCTGTTAACCATAAATCCGCTGCCAAATTCATGTCTCGTTTCATGACAGCTATAATACAGGGCGTATTCATCTGATTTACTTACGCCAGTCCCTTTCCATCGAATTTCATGTAAGGCAATAATATTGGCTTTGTACTGCGTGAGTACATCCTCCAAGGCGAACACTGCGCCTGTTCTGTACAACGTGCCCACATTCCAAGTGATGATTTGCGGGGGTCGTCATCATTAGGGGGTTTGGTTTTCTTTTTCTTTGCTTTTTCATAGTAGGAGGGGTTTTCCGAGTGTGGGCAACTAACCCAACGCCTCAACCCATTTTGTATAGTTCTTATGGGTGAACTCGCTGCACATATTAGTTCACTATTTCAATGGGTGATGAGAATAGCTACCCCGCGGGGAGGTCAGTGTCCACAATTGAGATGAAAGAGGGATCAAGGTAAGCCTGGGCTTCGCCATGATAAAGCCAATCAGAGCCGTTGCTTGGAATCTATCATCCCCTACGCCACCCACGTATTATATAGATGCTTAAAAAATATTTTTTAAAAATCCATGCCATGTGTAAAAGCTATAAAAAATATATTTAAAAGCTAAATAATTAATTTTATTCAATATCCACGGCATACTTTTAGGCAGCAGCATCGATTTATTAACCCTTAGCCACAACACCACAACAATATATGTCAATTATATTGCAAGAACAACATTTAAAATTTATTTTTTACAAAATCTAATTTATTTCGAATAATAAAATTTCAATTTTTTATTTTCAATTATTACAAAATACAGTTAATTAACAACAAAACACCACCACAAAACTATCAGAAAATTTAACACAAAATCTAAAAATTTTTTACATCAACTTAAAATTCCGCTTATTTGTGATTAGCTGGCAAATAAGTTTGTTGAGTATTGATGCCGGTATGGGTAATCTGAACTGCGCCATTGTCACCACTGGAACCATCATCACTGCTGCTGCCACCCAAACTACCAATTACCGATGATACGGGAATGGGACCTTCATTGCTGACATCCGAACTACCACCAAGAGCATCATATTGAGCTTGAATGGTATGTTGTGCATGAATGGCTTCTTCGGGGGTCTTGTACTTGATGAAGAACACTTCGGGTTTGTTGTTAACGGGAGCAGGAGTAACAACCTCAGCACTAACATCCAAGGCATTATTCTTCTTGGAGAGAACATAAATGGCGGTCTTCTCTTCGGTAGGAGCAACATTGGCAATAATCTTAGCCTTGTTATTAGTGTTCGAGGGTGAATCGATGAAGACAACGCGATAGTTCTTCTGAGGACGACCAATGTTGATGTAACGCACAACCTGTTGTTCATCATTGTCCACAGGAGCGGTGTGCAAATAGAAATGTTTGGTCACAATGGGTGCTTGATGATTTTGCAATTGTCCGAGGAATGCTTGTTGTTCTTCAACATTTACGGAAGAAGATTGAGAGAAGGATGAGCCAGAATTATATTGTGAACTGCCAAAGGAGCCAACGCCGCTGCCGCTATATCCACCACCAACACTACCGCCACCGAAACTGCCAAAAGATGGGGCAAATCCACCAGAGTTTCCAAATTGTCCAACAGATGGTTGAGATGCAAAATAGGAATTACCGGAGGCGGTAGGGCTGTAGGAGGATGAGGAAGAGGAAACACCAGGGGCATGCAAAAATGCACCACCACCACTGCTGTGTCCTTGATTGTAGCGATAGCCCAAACTTAAATCGGGACGGGCATTGGCACAGCTGAGTAGCACAGAAGCGCAGGCAAATAACTGAAAAAGGGGGAAAGAGAGGGGAAGTAAATATTAATTAAAGGGGAAAATAAAGGTACATCTATAGATAAATCTATATATGTTCTTCTACATAGAAGTCTCAGAGAATATGGAGCATGCTATCTTCTATCTTTACAAGACATATAGGAGGTCTACCATATTTAGGAGACCTATAGAAAATCTTCTATGTTTAGAGGACCTATTGGAGGTCTTCTAGCTATAGAATACCTATAAGACACCTTCAATTTATAGAAGACCGATGAGTGCTATCTGTAGAGCTATACAAGACTTATATGAGGTTTTCTGTCTATAAGACCCCTATTGGAGATTTTCGTATCTATGGGAGACCTTAGAAAGGGGTATGCGAAAGTGTATTCTGTCTTGCATAGAGAGATTTTCAGACCTTTCAAATTCTTTTTTTTAAAGAAGACCTGTAAGATGCCTTCTATATGTCGGACACCTGCGAGAGATCTGAAACAGCTGGAGGAAATATTTTTTCTATAAGAAGTCCTCAGTACTCTGTAGGAAGTCCTCTAAATATTGGCTGTTAATTTTTTTGTAAAAGTTTTAAAATTAGAGCTTTTTTGAGAAATGTTAGAGCTTCTCGCAATTTGAAAGCTTTTATATAGGTACACAATTTGTAAGAAGACCTCTACCTGCAGATGGTCTGATCTATATATTGTCTGTTAATTTTTCCAAAAGTTTATAAATTAGAGCTTTTTTGAGAAATGTATATAGTGATAAACATGTTAGAGCTTTTTGCAATTTGAAAGCTTTTATAATTGGGAAAGCCTTCAAAATGAAGCAAGCCTATTGTAATGTCATTATTAAACTTAATGATTTTTCCAAAGCTGTATTTAAATTCAAAAGCTTTTATATTTTGGTTAAAGCTTTTTAGAAATCATATAACATATTTAGTATTGTATGTATTTTAACACAATGAAAGCTTTTATTTTTGGTTATTTTTAAAATAATATAAAGCTTATTATATTACAATTGTAGAGCTTTTGCGATTTGAAAGCTTTTGTTCCGAAAAGTTTTTGATAATAGATTTGCAGTGGAATACTATAAATATGTTATATGCGATTTTTAAAGGCTTTATAGTTTTCAAAAGCTTTCATTTTTATAAAGCTTTTTGGAGAAGAAATTTCCAACCTCATATTTATTTTAAAACTCTACCGTATAAATGTCATAATTATCACTTAAGCTCTATTAATTAAAAATGTTTCTACAAAAGCTTAAAATGCGGTTTATAGCTCTCAGAGTTTTAATAGATTTCACGATTTTAATATATTTTAGAATAGTACATTTTGTATGTAAAAACAAAAATCACGTTAGAATGAGTTAGAAAGCTTTTAAACTTTTCAATTTTGTTAAAGCTTTTTGGGGATCCTATTTATACTAAAACAATTTTGATTTGATTTTTCGCAATTTAAAAACTTATACGTGCTTTTTTATAAATAGGAGCTTTCAACAAGAGCAATAACTTCAATATCACACTGAAAGCTTTTTCGGATTTCAAAAGCTTTTAATTCATTATTGAAGCTTTTTAAAGAATCACATATTATTAAAATAGTTTTCAATTTTTCCGATGTAAAAGCTTTTAATTTTTTTATAGTTTTTTCAAGCTTTTGTGTAATAGTTTAATGAAACATATGCGTGGGTGTATTTTTATAGAATCTACTCATTTTAAGCCTTTTGCTGAAACTGTATTTTTCACTTTCACAATCACTTTTCTAATCCTTTTATTGAATAATCCACTGTTGCCGCTTCTATTTATTTTTTTATTTGTTTAATCCTTTTTAACTCACCACAAAAGTATTCATGCTCAAGCTTGATTTAAAACCTTCTCTCAGGAATAAAAGTAGTACAAAACTTTAGATTATCTTATCTAAGACAATTGCTGGTGAACAACTGATGCCAATTGCCTGACAAACAAACAGTTTTATACCAAAATTATCTTCATAACAAATTGTCATAAAAAAACCCCCGCCGAGAAGTCACATCCAAAGCAACAATGTAAGAAATGTCAATTCACAATTTTGTTTAATTAAAACTAATTAAAGAAATTTCATAAAACAACAACAAATATATTGAGATCACACCTCAGAAGACATCATCAAAGTGTCATAAATCTATGACTCGCCATGATCAATTCCGGTATTTCCAAAGCAACAAAAAATGGTCACTTCATCTCCTTTAACAGAATGCAGAGTAGAGGTCTGTAGTTGCCCAACTGGTGGCACTAAAAGGTGTTAAATGATATTTTTACTTCTTAGACAAGTTCAATTTGTTGATATTTTATTTTTTTAGATCAGAAAATAATAGCAAGCCATCGTCACCAATAGTCCATCGGAACGTTCGTTCAGCATTTTGTCATACAATTAGTTATTAATTAATACATTTTAATTTCTTGCGATGAGTAAAGGGTTGGGGCGGGACATCGCGACATAATTTTTGTTTTTATTTTTTTATTAATTTGATTTTTATTGATAATATGTGATTTTATTTAGACCTCTTCGATTATGTTGAAATGCACGACTAACAGAGAAATCTATTGTTTTAAATTCAATGATGTTTTTTATTAACACTTTTTTTCGATTTTTTAAACCAGAAATGGAAAATTTATTGATGCATTCATGGAAAGATGTGCATAATGGAATAGGCAAAATATTGATAACTTTTTGAAAAAAAAATCGGAATTAAAAATAGTTCATCCAGAGATGAAAGCCGTTGACGAATATATTAAGAACCCAAAAAGACACATTATGTTATGAGGACATGAATTTTAGCTGGTAATTTAAAAATTCCTTAGGAAATCTGTGAAAATCTGAAGTTTGTAACCACATAAATGTGACCATTCCGCATGGGATCTCATCAACGCCCATAGCATTTAAAATATCAACATCCCAGAGGGACTCAAGGTTATTCACAGTCTTCCCGCAGTTTATAACATGAGCCCACTTATTAAGGGTGATCATATAAGCTTGTAAGTTTCATTCACAGGGTTTTTACTTAGTTCTTGGAAGCTTTTCATCGACATTAAGCAGGGACTTTTTATTGGCATATCGTTGAAAATAGCAATGTGCCCTTCGATTAATCTTCCTGTCTAGTGCTTCATTGGTTTTCACCATTTATTTGCTGAAATCGGCCGCGAAATTTCCAAAATTGTTAAAATATATTTCGGCTTTGGCTGAGAAGGTTCTTATTAGGGATAAGTAAATCGGCTTTCGACTAATCGATTAAACGACTTTTTGTATTGAAAAGTAAAAAAGTTGAAGTCGACTTTTGATCTTTGAGAAAATTGCAAAGTCGACATTTCATGATCGACTTTATAAATAGTTGATCTATTATCCCAACGCCCAAATTACCCAAAAATAACATATTCCAGGACTATAATGTATATAACTTATTAGGCATAGGCAAAAATCAAAAAGTCTAAAAATCGACTTTTTGGTCGGCTAAGTATCCCTAGTTCCTATGAAACCTTAACTCTTGGTACGACATTCGAATTTCCACATTCCTTATTCGCCAAAATAAAGCATACGAGATTTTTTGCAGCAAATTGTGGTTCCTCAGTCGATCTCATCCTATTTTTTGCCACAGGACCTCCTGACTTATTGTTCTTACTCGCATTAGGACTAGATTCCGTACTGTGGTTATCATTTATCGCCAACTTTTTAGAATCCTCGAACTGTTCATAATAGCAAAGGTTGATTGCAGCAGGTTGAAGTCAAAATGTTCGTATATTCTGTTTCGTAAATTCTAACTACCTTAAGGTGTGTCCTTATTCATAGTAATTGCCCTTTTTGGTTCCCCCCCCTTTTTTTGCTAAAGTAATCTGCGGCGTTTCGAAAGTAGCCTTGAGGCTTCCACTCGTGACATTTTTCTTCACAGAGTCAAAATGTTCGTATATTCTGTTTCGTAAATTCTAACTACCTTAAGGTGTGTCCTTATTCATAGTAATTGCCCTTTTTGGTTTCCCCCCCTTTTTGCTAAAGTAATCTGCGGCGTTTCGAAAGTAGCCTTGAGGCTTCCACTCGTGACATTTTTCTTCACAGTAGCTGTCTGCCTCGGAAGCACCGGCCAAATTTTTAGGCGACCCCTGCTGATTATAGCGTGACACTCTGATTACTCTAGTATCATAGTTATCCTCATCGTCGTCCGGCATGAGGGTATTGTCCCATATGCAAAGTAAAAAATATCCATATTCATTAATTAGACTGATGTTTATCATGTGTTGGAATGTCTGCCCTTGTGACGATATGGGCATCGGAAACCAAGGCCATCACACCTAACTCGAGTAAGTGGAGAAAATAATGTCGACATCCTTACCATGACAAGGACTTGATAACTAAAACTTAAACTAGTTGAGGAGCCAAGGTCTCCATTAAACACTGATATGTACTAAGTCGCTTTTAAATAGCCAACCTCCAGGACAAGAGACCAAAATTTAATTTAGGGTCGCCAAAAATACACCTCATTAGAACCTGAGGATTTGTCCTACACCTCAAGGACCACTGACACAATTAGCAAAATTTTGACGTTTCCAATAGCATTTACCTATGCTACCCACAGACGAATACAATAATTTCTGCAAAGGAGAAGATAAATAACGACGCTAAGTTCGCCGGGCCGCTCTTTGACGGGACTTCCTTGTTATATTCTCAACTTTAGAAGCGCTAATCTTGATGCAATGTTTTAATTCGCTTTTTTACTTCACGGTCATAAATGGGGTTTATGTAATAAATCATTCCCAAAAGAATCAATAAAAAATCCCATTTCCCATTAAATGGAATGGAAAGGAGTAAGTATCATAATAGAACCCAAAAGGGGAAATCAGCATATGTGTATCAGAGTTTTTCCCGAAGGGTAGCCATCGTAAAAACGCACATCAATTAAAAATGAAATGTCTCTTTTCCTTATAAATGAAATTATATTTATAAATTACAAATTGAATGAGAAGGAGTAGCTACTATAACAGAACCTAAAAAGAAAATTCAACAGAGTTGAATTCCCCAACATATAACCATCGTAAATACACACATGATTCCACACATGAGATGTCACTTTTAGCCCTTAAATTAAATGTAAATGAGTAACTACCATAACAGAACCCACCTAAAGGAGAATTCAACATATTTGTCTTAGTGTTTATTTACCTAACATTGAGCCATCGGAAAACACACATATCAATAAAAAAATGTCCCTTAACATAAATGGAAAGGAGTAGCTACCATAACAGATCCCAAATGGGTAGTCAACATAAATATACCACCGTTTATTTTTCCAACAAGTAGCCATCGAAAAAACGCAATTCAATTACAAATTAAATGCCCATTTCCCCCTAAATGGAATTTAAAGGGGTAGTTACCATAACAGAACCCAAAGGGATATTCACCATAAAAGTATTTTGTTTTTTTGTTCCACATATTCTTCTTACAAAGCCCTTGCATTTGTAAAATGATTGTAAAGAATTGTATGATTCTGGTACTATGAATTTTGTTACATCGAAGTTGGAGTATGTTCCTATAATCTGGGATCCTTGTCATATACACATAATTCTCGTGTTGAATACAAAAACAGTTCACCACTAAGTTACTGTTCTATCACTATTTCCAAAAAAAAAAAAAACAAAAAAGGAAAGTAGTAAAGTCGGACGGGGCCGACTATATGATACCCTTCACCACTCTGGGTATATTCAACAGATGAATCCTAACAGACGTCGCATTTTAAAAGGACCATCAAAAGGAAATTGGATCCATAAACATGTCATTCTGCAACCTATACTAATTTTTCCATTTGGTCAGATATAGAAGCTATACCTAAATCTGAACCGATTTCAGGAAATTTAACACACATCATTCTAGACCTAATTCATTACGCTGTGCCAAATTTCGTGCAAATCGAATGATATATAGGGACTTTGGTGCACCATTTACGTAAAATCGGACGAAACTATATATGGGAGCTATATCTAAATCTGAACCGATTTTAATGAAACTCAGCACACATCATTCTAGGCCTAATTTATTAAGCTGTACCAAATTTCGTGCAAATCGAAAGATATGAAAGGACTTTGGTGCACCATTTACATTAAATCGGACGAAAATATACAGGGAAGCTATATCTAAATCTGAACCGATTTTTCCCAATTTCAATATGGTTCGTCCTTGGGCCAAATAAGTGACCTCTGCTAAATTTCATCCAAATCGGATCATAAATGCGACGTGTACTTTGTTCACACAAATACATGGACGGACAGACGGACATGCGTAAATCGACTCACAAAGTGATTCTATGCATATTTTCAAAAGGAACCCTGTGTCTATCTCGTTTCCTTTTGTCTGTTACAAACATATGCACAAAGACATAATACCCTGTACCACAGTGTGGTGAAGGGTATAAAAACAGCATATTGATCGAGATGTTTGTTACTGAGTATACAAAGTCTAGACTGTTGAAGAAAATGCCAATCCGCCTTAATTATATAATTTAATTAAAAATCATATTAATTCGAAATAACTTTTGGCTTTAATCCCCTTTTTTGTTCCATGAATCATATCTGATTCATTATAAATTATATATTAGACCTACATCATAGTCGATTTGAATCAAACTTAGCAAAATATGTTTTTAATATCCTTCCCAAGTTTCAGATATCTTAGTGGGATATTAAAAATCCCGGGCAGATCGGGATTTTTTTATTTACGCTAGTGTTATTATAATTTCATAATCATCATAATCATTTTGGAATTTCTATTGACGTAATTTTATTTTTCACACTATTCTAGATATTGGTTATTAATATTGTTTTGTTGTAATCACCTTGTAACACATTTTAACTAATTCATTCAATTATCACTCATTTTTAAAATATATATTTTTTGTTTTTCTTTGCAGAAGGTTGGCAGGCACTGCGTGATTCAAAGAGTATACAATTTTGGGATTATCGCAAGGCTTTGGTACATTTACAAGCTACCTATGGTATATTCCCATATTATAAAGTTTCAGTAGAAAATCGGTATGTATTAAACATATAGATTTGAATATTTTGAAATTTATTTTTTTTTCTTTTAATCTTTTAATTTTAGTTTCAATAAACCCCACGAATACATTATTACATTAGATGAAGGAGAATATGGATTGCCGGATAAATATTTCTATAATACGGATCGTAATGATGAGGTATGTAAAATTGTGTTGATTTTTATTTGTCTAGCAGAATTTAGAAAAAAATATATAGAGGAGAGAATATTTCTAGTATTTCTTAGCTATCTCAAATGACAAAAATTTGAGATGTTTAAGAAGTTGTTTTATCAGAGTTACAACTGATTAATTTTCATTATCGCAGATTGTCAAAGGATATATTTTATTATTACGCGATTTTGCCATTAATATGGGTAAGTTATACTTGATTTATTTATTTTTCTAATTTAATTAATTTCGATATTTTATTTTTTTTTTCAAGGCATTGTTTCCAAACAGGCTGAACTCTTTGCCGATGATGTTTTCAATTACGAAAAACGTATTGTAAATCATTTGGATGTTGTTAAATCGTCATCGGGTGAAAGACGTTTGAATGAAATCAAAACTCTGGTGGAAATTAAAACCCTAGCACCATCGGTAAGTTATAAGCGTCGTTAAATGAAACTTTTAATTTTGATTCTACCTTATATGGGAGGGTATAATAATCATAAATTTGGATAGAGTCAGCCTGGGACTGAGTCTTCCTACTTCAGCTCCTTAAAAATACCCAACCCATCTATAAAAATTACATCCGGGATTTCTGTAATAAGAGTTATACTGGGGTATAGTGCGCCTCTACCATATTGTTCTTTATGTGTCGAAGATGTATTATGGCCGTTAACAGAGATGATTACAATGCTGTACCGAAGAATCGTACCAGAAGCGAATGTGGGGGATTTGCATTCTTTGCACTCTGTTCAGTGCAGACCTATCTCGCTTAAGGGCCCCCAATATCGGTTTCAAAAAATTTAATTTTGTATTTTGATTTAATTCGAATCAACACTAATTCAAGAATGTCCCTATAAAATTTCAAGTGAAAATCTCAACAACTCTTGAAGATATAGATATAGCTTGAAGATATATCAAGTAACGGCGGCTTCTCAAACTTTAACCGCGTTTTTCTCCAAACAGCGTTTTTGTGAATGGCGGGCACGATAACTCAAAAACTTATAACCCAATCGATTTCAAATCTTGGGACGTTTCTTTGTGGTTGTATAGCTATCGTAAAAACTAGGATAAATCCAATCGATCAAGATCTTCCTTATTTTTTAACATACTTTGTAGTAAAAAGTTTGTGTTCAAAAGTACGCCATTTTGTTGATTTTTGAGCGAAGTCAATAATCCTAGTTCATACGAGACCCATATATGTACCCTTTCTACCGCCGTTGGAATTTTCGGATTCCGATGACAGTCAAATGTGGAACTCTCGAGGTAGGGGTGCTTAATGTATAAACCTCGTTATTTACCGTATATTAGTCCAGTATCCATCATGATTTATGACATTCTGTCCTAGGTAATAACCAGAGGTGTACTGCACTGACTGATCAAATTAATATCTCGATATTTTGAACGGTGAATGAGGTGAAGCTGATTGGCGAGGTTTTAGAGTTAAGTACTTACCATCAGTTTCACCACAAGGATAAGGGAAGATTGTCACAGCTTGCATGACAGTACCATAGTGGCAGTAGGTCTGAAAAAATGACATTACCTGGCAATTAATCCGAAGATGTCCACGTGTTATTTTAACCAACACTGTATAGAGCAACCCGAAGATGACTAGGCGAAGGGGAATGTTCTACGTCCTTCCAGTCGAGGATGTATCACCACAGTCATCCCAACCGTTAGCTTTCGAGTTGAGTACATAAAATCAGCCCTAAAATTGTTGTTAGCAAAGCTCTTATTGTTATTTTAACGGAATAGTTCCCATCTCTACAAACATCCGACCGGGTTTAAAACATTGGATAATCAGCTATATGTATGGACAGGATTTATACGTGGAATTCAGAAACAGAATGTCGATCTCTTCAGAACTGTTCAACCTCTACCATTCGGATATTCCACAATCACCGACGGCATAGAGGTCGTAATATATGCGGTACGAGTATAGCGTTGGGTCCTATTATTGATGAAAATATCGGCACCGATTCACAGCCACACTTTTCACCACTTTCGCGGCTGAAATTAAGCTGTTGCTAAACATTATGGTCGATGAAGTCCAAATTCCGACCACCAACTATTAGAAGAGAGTGTGTTTAATATTCGACAGTCTTCGTATGCCTCTGCCATTTGCTGTGGAACAAGATCCTCAAGTCGTTGGCAGTTGAAAACCCCCCTGCCATAGCCTTATGGAGAGACTTCCCACTCCCAGACAAGCCAGAAGGGATGTTCTTGACCTAGAAAGAGAGGTCTAAAGGTAGAAGCGTGAATTTTTGGATCAAAGGCTTATTAGGCACGCCAGAGTTGCATTCATACACATGCAGTAGCCCAGGCAGTAGAACAATACCCTATGAATGCCATACTGGGAGATCATCAATCATTCCTAAAATTATAGAAAAGCAGCAGCCTGGACAGACCGAGTACTCATATAGCAGCACATGATGAATACATAATAAATCCCCTTCTTGTATACAACAATGGCTAGTCTATAAATACTCAATTTAGCTCGTCAGTAAAGACTCCGTGATTCATGCCGATTTGTTTATAAAGACTTCCAACATAAGCTCCCTAAATAAGCTCATCTATAAAGACATTAAATATACCGTTCCATGGCTCCCAGTATAAATTTGATTACTTTGAAATTTATAATAACTTTTTTTCCATTTCTTTACTTTCCAGCTGCCCATTGCCGAAACCCTGCAAGCTCTCTTTCCTCATACACGAATTAATGATGACACAGAAGTTTTGGTAAGAAATGTTGATGTGCTCAATGAATTATCTACAATTGTGTCCACCTCAGATAAAAAGTAAGTAAAAATTTTACTACTTTTATGAATTCCGAATATTTATTTTAATTATTTTTTGAAAATTATTTTCAGACCAATGAACAACTTCATAATTTGGTCACTGGCACGCCATCTACTTCCCCACCTATCTATGGAATATCGAAACCTTGTGGAGGCATTTGATCATTCGGTATATGGACGCACAGCAACATATCCCCGTTGGATGGTGTGTGCAAAAACTGTACGAGATTGGTTGCCCTTCGCTGTGGATGCTCTGAAGCAGAAACATCAAGAGGAATTGGTAAATAGGAGGTTATATAAATAGTAAACGAAGTGTTAATTGGAATATTAATTTTTTTCCACAGGCCTCGAAATTTTTACCCTCCCATCTGAAGGATAACAATGGCTTGAACAAAACATCGGGCAATGATGAATTCTTGAAATTGATGTACTACAGTTTAAGAAATCAATTGGAACAATCCGTGGAGGAAGCCAACTGGATAAGTGGCGATGTTAAAAAGTATATTAATGAAAAGGTAAGACGGAACTGTTCAACACCCATCCTTATTTGCTGCCCTGATAGCTTCCATTATATTGGGATCGACATTTTAGACAACAATAAATATAAATCTATAACCCCCAACAACTGACATTGGTGGGTTCAGAATCAAATGTTCGATGTGGGAAAACAAACATTGTGTACCTTGAGTTTAATTCAAAAATCTGTATTTTTTCAATTTCTAATTTAATTTCGATCGACTATCTGTATGAGTGTGAAATTTGAAGTGTGTTCACAAATTTAGGTCCCATAATAGGTCCCATCTCCTTACAGCTACCGTTTTTATTTTCCAACAAATTATTAGAATTTAATTGATCTGTCGTCCACTCTCTTCCAGCTCACCACAATGCGTCTACAAATCGGCATACCCGAAGAGGTTTTATCGAACAAAAGTTACATCAAGGATTATTACAATGAATTGCTGTTGAGTAATTTATATTTTGTCGAACATTTGCAATCGATTTGGAGTTTCCGTATGGCACGCATGGAAGATAAACTAAAGGCGTTAAATATCATTGATACGTAAGTAGCAGAATACACAAAAAATTAATTTAATAATTTTGAAAATTAATTAACATAATTTATTTTGGCAATTATATTTCCGGGTTTTAAATTTTGATTAATAGCTGCCGACATTAATGAACTTGACTGTGTCAATTATTTCAAGTTTTGCCATTAGCATTATCAATCAGAAATATATTTCTACTTCTAATTAGGCAATGAGAGCGGTCGATGCAGATGCCATAAAACTTATTAACACCTGAGTGCAGTATGGAGATATCTAATAATTGATTAAGAACTTATAAAGCCAATTTATATCAAAGACGGAGCAGTGATCAGTGCTGCTGTACCGTGAGATGGAGGCATTCTTCAGCAATTCTTCCATTTTTCGATTTTGCATAAACTAAAAATGCCTTAAATCAGAAAGTATGGTTATATGAGGGCTGTATTAAGGGAACCCCCCCATTCTCGATTTTTTATTTTTAAGATTTTAAATGGGCTGGTAAATGAATACCAATGCTTGTTAAGGTTTGTAACTTTGCACATATATATTTGAAGATTTAAAAAGGAAGAAAAATAATTTACAAAAAATTTTTGTTGTTGTTTTGTTGTTGTTTTTTGTGATCAAAGAAAAGTCCTTATTTTTGATGGCGGGCATGATAACTCCTCACTGGAACATCGGAATCCGAAAATTCCAACGGTGTTAGAAAGAGTACATGTCTGGCTCTCGTATGAACTAGGATAATTGACCTCGCTCTAAAATTAACGAAATGGCGGACCTTTGAAAAAATATTTTTGGAAAATCGCCGATTTTTGACCAAAAACCAAGTTAAAAAATAAGGAAGATCTTCACCGATTGGCTTTATCCTAGTTCATACGATAGCTATACACTTACAGAGAAACGTGTAAAAATTTGAAATCGATTGGGTTATTAGTTTTTGAGTTATCGTGCCCGTCATTCGCAAAAAAATGTTTTGAGAAAAACGCGTTTAAAGTTTGAGAAGCCCTTCAGCCGTCACTTGATGCTGACACAATAAATCGGCTATATCTTCAAGAGTTCTTGAGATTTTAACTTGAAATTTTGCAGGGACATTCTTGAATTAGTTTAGATTGGAATTAAGTCAACAAAAATTTTGACCCCGAGAATGGGGGGGTCCCCTTAAAACATGAACCCAAGCATGTTCCATACCAGTAGTTGTTTTGATATAAAAACCATTTGAGCCAAATTTTGCCAGCCTGGGTCAAGTAGTTTATTACCAATATTTCTGTAAATACTCGTGTATTTAATAACTTGTTCAAAGTATTTTAAAATTAAAATTTTTGAAATTTTGAAACGATTTGATAACAGAAACCCTGAAATAGGGCCACGCCCGTCTCTAAAACCTCATTTAACGGTTACTCCGTTGTCGAGAGCCTGCAGCTATTAGTTCAAATGGTAGTAGTTTTGGCTACGAAAGCGTGCAGAGAATAGTCTGTGGGGGCCCATTCCCGTACTAGCAGGCATGTATTGGGATGGGTGGTATGAATAGGGGGTACTAATGTCGTAAGATGTTGGTGGTTACTCCTGGTTTTTTACCCGCTTTCAGCGATCGGTTTATTGTAAAGAGCCTGAAAATATTAGTTCTAATGGTAGTGGCTTGAGCTATAAATCTTGGCAGAAACTGTAGTCTGTGGGTGACCAGTCTCAAGCTTTTGAAATTATACTAGTAATAACACCGGTTATGAGCCTAATCGAAGATTTCGGTAGCATGGGCGTCAGGTCATTAAGGTCTGCGGGTCCAGTTGGAATTGGACCTTTAGGAAGCATCGTGCTGGTGGTTGCTTATACCCAAATCGCGGGTAGAGTTTCGTCTCGGTGTGGAGTTGCATTACAAGAGGTGTCTTACACATAGAAAGGGAGGGGTTTTAAATTAGCTCCGCTCCATGGAGGTGATCACGTTCAAATACGTGTGATTGATTGGTATCTGCATTTTGGTGTCTCGGGCGTTGATTTTGTATTAACTGGTGTTTACAGCAACGTGGGTATGACCGCAAGTCAGGTATGTACGTGCTCTAAGCATCTCTGCACATCTCTATGAATCTATTCCTGTTCTGATTCATATGTGTCAAAATTCAAAAAGGTCAATTCTTAGACAGGCGAGTAGGTTTAGTTGAACAGATAAATAAGTGCATTGTGTCGTGCGATCCTAGTACACATGTTGGGCATGTGTTATATAACGTTCCGTAATTAGTGGAAATTAAAGCGGTTGTATCATTCTGTTCGTAGCTGTTCTACGGCTACTCGTGTTTTTCTAGGCATTTGGCTCTCATCTGCTGCTATATATACTGCATCCTCAACATTTGATTGTTCCTATGGGTGGGTGCGTATGATCTTCGTCTCTTCATGGTGTTATGACGAGACACTCATTTGCAATTCTCAGGACGACATTCGCAAATCACACTGGCGCCGCATATGTAAGCATATGTAAGCTTTATAAGAGGTCAACAATATTGCTTTTAGACAATGGGCTAAGATGACAGCCTCTGGTCGAGAAAGACTTTTGTCGTTTCAGATCGTAGACCCCTCTGTCGTGGAATAGGAGTGGTTTGTGCGGACAACTTGAAAATGCTGTCGAACTTTATATCCAATATACTGTGGTAGATGGTGGTCAGAATCTGATCTCCATCGACCATAATCTTCAGCTAGAGCTTAATTTCAACCAACCACTGTTGATTTAGTGGCGGATATTTTTTATTAGTCCTCAAATGGATCACAAGCAAGTCGATTTGTGTAAAGGAAAGTCCCAACTATACGATCGTGTTCCTTGACGTATATCAGCAGATAATAAGATCGTATGGGACTTGGGAAAAGAGTAAAATACCATGAATATTGTTCGTGGAAGAAGCACAACGAAGCAAATAATCTTAATTACTCGGGGCAACCCAACTTCAATTTTATTGTATGTAGTCTTTGGAGAAAAACGAATCTGAGTAGACGAATTAATTGGGAATTTTAATAATGCCAGAGATTTTAGGTCTTATCGGGTAGCAAGTTTTTCCAATAACATGTAAAAACGTGTCAGTTTGCGGATTTTTCCGTATTTTTGATTAATTTGGATAATTTTCAATTAAATTTGCTACAAAAAACTGGCTACATTTTCGGGGTAATCCTTATATAAAGGTTCCGGCGATTTTTCGGTTCTTTGGCTTTGTTTTCAACCAAATTGTCTCTTATTTGATATTTTAAAATCCCATTTGGGTGAGAAAACTTTGTACAAAAAATTATAAATATGAGTCCAAGTTTTGGTATAGTTCCTATATAATAGCAGCCATAATTTCCGATATTTTAAAAATTGGTTATAATTTGATATTTCGATTTCTCTTTGGGTATCATATCTTCCAATATATAGATCCTCAAATAAAGTTATTTGAATCTTGTCCTAGGTCCATTTTCCACTGATGTGACTATATGTTTGATTTACGAAGTTGTACTCAAATATCTCAGTGGAAACCCCACCTCTTGGCAGAACACTTTCAATATAATTCCAAGATTTTAAATAACTCACATACACACACCTACACATGATTTCATTTCAAAGGATCTGGAATTTTTCATGGCAAAATAAAAATGTATGTACGAATAAAATAATTTCGGGGAGGGACTCCTGAGTCCACATCAGCGTCATTTTCGGTATGTTCATTCTTCTAGCGCAATTTGCCAAAAAAATGTTTCTAGTTTGGTATGGTATGGCATAGTCTCCAATATAAAAATTCCGATCGAATTTATGTATTTTGAATACTCACTTGCCGAGCATAAGAAGTTCAACCCAACCCTTTATAATGAACAAAATATTCACATTTTTATTATTAGTTCAGCCATACATTAGCCATCGTCATACCATTTCGAACAGCCCCATTTTAAGCTTTAATATTACACCATGAATGACCTCAAATATTGAGTTCTATTCCTAATTTCTAATAATAAACTTCCCTTTAATATGTGTTTAAATTTCTTTTTTTCCAGAATAATATCCGAAATGTACACCTCTGAAGAACCACCATTGGTCGCATACTCCAAGCTGCTGAATATGTTGGTGATATCACGTGGCATTGCCTCATCCGGCTATTATGATTATCGTTATCCGGTGGCTGTGAATTTTGCTCGCATCGGTTCAGATATCCTCGAAGTGCTGATGGATGCTGTAATGACATTTGTGGAACAATATAAAGCCGATAATGATTTGCATACACAAATAAATTTGGGTCAAGTTGATATTGGCTGTATAACTGCGGATGAACATAATCGTGAAGAGTTACAAGAACTGTCAACGAATGCTTTGAAAAGTTTCCATATAACTTTGAGTGGTGCAAAAATTACCGCTAAGGCTTTGAGTTCATTCTTGGCAGCCATTGACACAGCATCACCCATTATTGGGGCCTCTTTCGATCAACAACATACCTATGAAAGTTTGAGGTTAACTGAACGTTTACGCATCCCCGGGCTGAGGTCATATAATGAGAATGAACTATTTGCCCTGACCTATATGCAAAAACATTGTAGCACCTCTATAGCGGATAAGGATTATGCGAAAATTAAGCCTCACGTTGAACAACAATTGGCTGAGAGATACTTGTAAGTGGAAGGGGAGATTGGGATTTCAAGAAAATAAAATAAATTAATTATGTATTTTTTGTTTTATTTTACAGATTCAATGCCACCTGGAACCATATACAATTTTTACCACTTGCCTCCAGCTGCCATGTGCCACCAGTACGCTGCTCAAATATTTTATAATTTTTGTGAATTATTATTATATATAGTTTTTTATATTTAACTAACTATACTTTGTCTGAATTCCAATTTAAAAAAATGACAAGGCTTAAGGAGGGTAAAGATCATAGATTAATGGATTGGCAATATTGGCAAATTTTTATTTGGAAAAAATATTTCTACAAATTGTAATGGTCAATATTAGACTTCCATATGTTTTATAACCCAAATTTGCCTGCCTTTGTATTTTTACACACCAACACAAACAAACATACACAAAAATACATACATATATTTTTTTAAAATATGTAACATATTCATTCCGAAACACACAACATCCCTTGTCTGCGCCCCTTTACTTTTCATAGCTAAGATTAAGATTCCATTTTTTAAAATATTTTGTTCCGCCTTTTTTTCTCTAATAATTTCATATATAATTAACAGCCGTAGTTTTTTTAATAATTTCTAATACTACATAGAAATCACATAATTTTGAAATTTTTTGTTAACTATTCCATAGGTATAGAGTGTAAACACATACGACTTACATATTAACGAGAAAAAAAAAACATAACATAAAAATAATTTATTTTTTTGTAGAATTTATATAAAATATTAAAATTTACAATTTAAAGACATTTTGTAAGAACTATTAAGCATACCATTTAATATAATTTATATATAAATAATATTTTTGTCATAAAATTAAATAAAGAAGAATATTTAGTGTGTGTATTTGACACTAATGAATAACAGGATGAGTCAAGTTTTTTTTAATAAAAACGACTTTTTAACAACTTTTAGAAGGCGTGGATTTTTAAAGAATACTTTCCCAAAGACTATAAGAAGGCGCTCTTACATATTTCCAAAATTAATTATAAAACTACATTATTCAAGCACTATAGGTTCACCCAAGTGTACCAAAGTACAAAATCCAATAGAAATCATATTTCCCACTTTTAGGATTCCAGCCGGATCGCTTCACCCAAATATAATTGTAGCAAATTTAGTACCTTTTAGGACACATTAGTAAGAATTTCCAAAACTTCTTTCATAGCCAACTTCAAATTTTAGTAAGATCTTCCAAAACATCCACCATCTTTCAAAATTGTTCAAAGCTACCAATATCATACAACCAATGTTAGGTTTCCAGCTCTATCAGTTCACACAAAATTCTAATTGTACCAAATTTATTACCATTTAATATCCATAAGGATGAATTTCCAAAACTACAACCATACCCCAATCCTAAACTCCAGCAGTAATCATATTTAATCAAATTTTAGTATTGCAGCTCTATCATTTCACCCAAATACGCATTAGGTACCATTTAACACAAATTTCCAAAACTTCCTACAGATTCAGGATCTCAGCTCTATCGGTTCACTCAAAATTCAAATTGTACCAACTTTCGTGCCATTTAATATACATAAGTATGAATTTCCAAAACTATATCCATACCCAATCCTACAATCAAGCAGTAGCCTTATTTATATATTTTAGTGTTCCAGCTCTATTGGTTCACAAACACAAATTTGGTGCAATTAAGTATAAATTTCCAAAACTTCCTACATATCCCAATCCTACACCCCAACAGTGACCATAACTCCAAATTTCAGAATTTTAGTTCTACCGGTTCAGCCAAATACAAATTTGGTACTATTTAGTACACATTAGTACAAATTTTCTCAATACTACATACCAACAAAGATCGTAACTCAAAATTGCAGTTCACACAAAATTCAAATTGTACCAAATTTAGTACAATTTAGTACCCATAAGTATGAATTTTCAAAACTACATCCATACCCCAATCCTACACTCTAACAGTAAACTTATTTCCAAAGTTCAAGGTTTCCAGCTCAATTGGTTCACTTAAAATTTAAATTGTACCAAATTTAGTACATCGGACGAAACTATATATGGGAGCTATATCTAAATCTAAACCGATTTTCTCGAAACTTACTAATCATCATTCTGGACTTAATTCAGGACGCTACGCCAAATTTCGTGTAAATCGAAGGATATATAGGAACATTGGTGCGCTATTTACCTCAAATCAGACGAAAATATATATGGGAGCTATATCTAAATCTGAACCGATTTCCACGAAACTTACCACACATCATTCTATACCTAATTCATTACGCTATACCAAACTTCGTGCAAATCGAATGATATTAAGGGACTTTGATAGACCATTTATCTTAAATTTCGAAAAATATATCGGTTCACCCATAATTTAAATTGTACAAAATTTCCTAAATAGCTAAATTCTAAGTGACCTATGCCAAATTTCATCCAATTCGGATTATAAATGCTTACAATTTAACACGGACAGACAGACATACGGAGGGACGGACATGCATAAATCGACTTAGAAAGCGATTCTATGCATATTCTCAAAAGGAACCACGAGTCTATCTCGTTTCCTTTTGTCTGTTACAAACATATGCACAAAGACATAATACGCTGTACCACAGAGTGGTGAAGGGTATAAAAATCAATGATTTGAAAAAACAGAGTTTCCAAAAAGATAATAGTTAAAAGATCACATTTTATAATTGTAAAAATATGGAATGGCAGTGTGTATCAAAACTTCAGAATTTCCTCTAACAATATCTGAAAACTTTATAAAAATCGGTTTAGTAGTTGCCGAGATATTTGTATTTCAATTCACCGATGGTCCGAAATACACCTCCTGCTCGATTCTGGTCGCCTATTACCTGAATATGAAAAACCATACAAAAATTGGTCTTTTAAAAAAGGCAAAAATTGTTTTCATAATGTCTGCTGCTGTTGTATGAAAATTATAGCATACTTGTAGGGACAAATGGCAGTCAGTTCGAGGTGCAATTTCTTGTTGCTTGATATGTAGGTGTGATTGCTTTGTGATTTATGCACATATACAATGTAAAATGTATTTACTTACACATACACACACTGTAGCTGTATGAAGAAAAAATTACCATTTTTACAAAATCGATTTTTGTGGTGTTTTTAATTTTTTGTTAATAGGCGCCCAGCATCGAACAGAAAGTATATTTCAGAGCATGTTAGAATTGAAATTCGAATAACTCCGGAAATACTTAACCGATTTGTATGAATTTTGCAGCAATGCTTAGAGAGAATTCTGCAGTTTTATTACACAATGACATTATATATTCATTACATCTATAAAGGTGATTTTATCTTTTTTGGCAACACTGTTTTTAAAAGTTTACACACATATCGTGTTTTGTTTTTCTGGTTTACATCTTCAGAAATATTAAAGTATAATTTAACGATGACACCAGTCGACATACAATAAACAATCTTCTTAATATATATTCGTGTTATGTGTATAAAAAGTACAAAATGGTACTATTTGCATTTAGTTGAGTGTATAGAGAAGGAATCCTGAAAATAGGAATTAGGACTACTATTGGAGTACAGGATTGAGGTAGCTTTAAAAAACGTACTTATGTGTACCAAACGTACTAAATGGTACTAAATTTGCTGTAAATTGGATTTAAGTGTACTAAAAGTACTAAACTAAATTTAGTTATAAATGTATGTATATTAAATATGACTGTTGAAATTTTATATCGAAAACAGGTTTTTTAGGATAGTGGTACTTTTGTGTATAAAAGTACAAATGGTACTAAATTTGGTATAATTTGGGTTTTATTTGAACGGATAGAGCTGAAATCCTGAAATTTGAAATTAAGATTACTGTTAAAGGTTGAGACATTCATAGAGACATCTTTGAAAATTCGTATTTATGTGTACGAAAAGTAATCTTGAAATTGGGAATTAAAATGATTTGGAACATGATTGGGATTTTTTAAGGGGTAACGGACAAAAGCTAAATGGTAAAATTTGGAATAATGGTTGCTGTTGGAATATATAATTGAGATGTGGAAGCATAGTACTTATGTGTACTAAATTGTACTATATTTGGTACAACTTGATTATGTGTGAACGGATATAGCTGGACTGCAGAATTTTGGATTGAAATAATTTGGGAAATTCTTAATTATAGAAACAAAATGTACTAAGTGGTACCAAATAGTTAACAACTTGTTTTTGTGTGAACGGATTGGGTTGGAGGGCAGGATTGAGATATGTCGGTAGTTTTTATAATTCATCATTACGTGTACTAAATGTTACTAAGTTTGGTACAATTTAGATTAGAGTGAACGGATAGAGATGGAAAACTTAAATTTGAATGAAAATGGAAATTACATTTTGGATTAAAATTAAGTAGGAATATGTAAAACTTTATTTGTTCTTTTATGGATATGGAAAACTTATATTTAAAAATAAAATTACTGTTAGAGTACGGGATTGAAACAGTGTTCAAAATTCAAACTTATAAGTACAAAAAGTACTGAAATTTATGATTAAAATTACTGTTGGAGTGTGGAATTGAGGAAGTTTTACAAACTCGTACATATGTCTACGAAAAGTAATAAATGTTACTAAATTTGGAACAATTTGAATGTTATTGAACGGATAGAGCTGGAATCCTTAAATATGGACTTAAGGTTATTATTGGAGGGCATGGATGATGTAGTTTTGGAAATTCATACATGTGGGTACAAGAAGAACAAAAAAGTGTTACAATTTGGACTTTGGTGAACGGGTAGAATTCAAATCCTGAAAGTTGCAATTTTGGTTACTGTGGGAGCGTAGGATTGATATAGGTTTGTTATATGGGTATGAAAATATGGTACAATTTGGTTTTTGGTGAACAGACAGAGCTGGAATTCATAAATTGGACTTACGATTACTATTTGAAAGCAGTTTTGGAATATTGAAATAGGTTTGGAATATGGGTATGAAAAGTACAGAATGGTACCAAATCTGGTACAATTTGGTTTTTAATGAATATACAGATCTGTAATTCTTGAATTGGACATACGATTGCTATTTGACAGCAGGGTTGAGGTACATTTGGATTTGGTACAATGTGGAATTTGGTGGAATTAAAATCACTGTTAGAGGGTAAGATTGATGTAGTTTTAGTTTAGTTTTAGATTACTGTTGAAGTGTAGTATTGAGC